TATCTATATATATATATATATATATAGATAAAGCACAAAAATCTGTGTTTCTGTCTGTTTGTCCGTTATCTAACTACTCCTTCGTCGCTGGGCCAATCTCTACCAAACTTTGTGGGATGAGAGTTTGGAACAAGAAGCATGTTAAAGGGGGATTCACAAATATATCCACTCCCATTATTGCTGTTATTGAGCATTTATTATCTTTGACGTAAGTTAACGTTAGCTACATTCACAGATGACGCCACGTACTTACACTGAAAAAATACTTTGTTAAATTTTCTATAACACATCATACACACAGAGTGGGGAAGGACACACAAACAATTTATATATCTCAGAGAGGGCGCTAGCACTCTCTATGGAGGAATGCAATTAAAAAAAAACATGGCCGCCACTATTGCAATAATACATAAACTCAGCTGTAGTTTCTACTCCAACAGCCACCATAAGGCTGATATGAAGAGCCGTTTTTAGGGTCAAACCAACTTCCTACTTTGGCCCGTGACTTTTCAACTTCGGTCCGTAAGACACTTCTGCGGTCAATTACCGTCTATTAATCAATCACGTGAAACACTGCGGTAGGACATTAAGAGCTGGGTGTTGAAAGCAGGTAACAGAAAACACCCCTACCGACACTTTTTTTGGCCGCTACCTCTTCTTACAAAGTCACCCTGACCATTGCACTGTGTATATCATGTTTTAATTATATACATATTGAGTTCTTAAAGCTTATGCAAAACATTTGGTGAGGTAATAATGAATAATATATCATGTTATAAATAAATTGTGTGAAAGTTAGGATTTATGTGTTATTTATCACAGCATCCAACCATACATTTTTTTAAAATTCATAACCCGGAAAAAGGACGGGTACCTCAGCTTATTGTTAATAAATTGTAAAAAACTTGTAGTGATACATGTAACTCTCAAGTTAACTTCTTTGATTAATAATATCATTATAATCAAAACAGCTTTCGAGTTCCAACCAGTGTCTGTTAAATGATGTTTTGACAGTTTTATCTCCCTCAGTTTTAATGCTTCAGGAATTCACATAGATACTGGGACAAAGTGCTAAGAAATGCACCTTAAAATGTCACTTGTAGATCACATTTCATTGTTAATTTGGCAATACGTGTAATATTTTTGTAAGTTGTCTCTATGAATTGTAAACATGTGATACTTTAACTTTTAAGCAGTTACTATTCCTTTACTTCAGCAAGTATAATGTAAGCCTAATTTAATTTTAAAGCTTCATTAAACTATGAACACAGCTTTGAAAGCAACAATGATAATGTTCGTGTGTACACCCAATAAAAATCTGATGATTCAATACATTCTGCCAAAAAACAAGCAAATACACACACACACACATAGCATCCTGTTTGGCGATATTCTCTGAATAGTATTATCACTACGAAACCGGCACTATTATTTATATTAAAATCA